TCATGTCTGACTTTTTTCACTTAACGTTATATACATGAGATTTACTCATGTTGCACGTACCTTCTATATGATTTTGATTGGGAAAAGCATTTAATTTTGTGTCTGAACCACAACTAATTTGTCCATTCTTTAGTTGCTGAACATTTGAGTTGTCCCTAATTTGGAGTTATGGAAATAATGCTACTACGTACATTCTAATCTATGTCTCCTGCTACACAGGAATATGCATTTCCTTCTAGGAGTGAAATCTGAGTCAAAAGACATATATCTTCACTTTAGTATTTAATATCCAACTGTTCTGGAAATTTAAACATTCCACTAGCAATGCACAAGAGCTCCCTCATTGATCTATATCCAACACTTCATGCTGTCAGTCTTTATCATTGTAGGCATTTCGGTGGGTAGCAGTATCTTACCATGGTTTTAATTTTTGTTAACCTAATTACTTATGAGCATACTTACATGCTTACCAACCACCTGGATATAGTAATTTTTAAATGCTTAAAAGTCTTTGGTCCACTGAATGGCAGAGATCTTCCTAAGCACTAAAATTAATTTTATAGGCTGACAAAATGCAGCTAAAAACCTTTCCTTGGGAATATCAACTCATTAATGAGAAACAGGGGAAGGAAAGGATGATTTAGTCCCTCAGGAGACTTTTTGCTAAAGATCAAATTACTCCGCTGATGACTCTCTATTAAGTACACCCAACTTCAACGAGTATTACTAAAACAAAGTATAATACCATAATATAGAAAGAACACATAACACAGAATCTGAGAATCATGAGTAAATAGCTCTGGATTACACCATCCATTACTATCGTGTCCTCAACTTACTTTGCTGTTGGCATGAAGATTAAATTCAGTGACACATTTAAAGCATTTAGACCTCTGCCTGATGACTATTCACCTCTAATTAACTCTGATAAATACAGATAAGAGTAATGGCAGTGACAATACCGTAAAAAAAAATCCTAAGTAACTCTTTTTAAACCAACAATCTTCAACTACATAGACATGTAGTTACTTTTTAGTTTACAGATGCCTGTATTCTAAAATCCTCAATCACACTAGTACGCAGGTTTGCATTTAAATAATTCAGTAACACATCTCTTGTTTCTTTATCAATCCTAACTCTCCAGAATACTTTTTTCTTGTAAACTACCTTGTCACAGTACTAGGTATTTCCCTATTCACTCATCGTTCCTCTGTGTGTGTGTGTGTGTGTGTGTGTGTGTGTGTGTGCATATACACACACACACATATATATTCATATATACGGTATATCCTTTTGAGGCAGGATAGTAACACTTTAACTGTGAGACCAGAATCCTAAGGAGGTGACCATGTATATCACAATACCCAGAGAGTTCTACTCAGTCAGCTCTCCTGGAGACTCTGGATCTCTAGTCAGGTTGTGAAATGCCATAGTGCAAACCCTTGGCTGGGGTCCTATAGGATTTCAGTGAGTCCAGGACTGATTTCACTGCCATGTAGAAGGCTTTTCTTAAGATCCTGTAAGTGAGAGAATCTTTAATATCTTTAGGAAACTTTATTTTCATTGCTGATTTAGATAGATTAACTAAAATTATCTATCACTTTGGTTATCTGTGTTCAAATTGTTTGCTGTAAGGTAAATAACAGTCTGATTATCTACACATCTGTAAAAATTTAAAACTGCACAAAATTGCCAGTGGAAAAAATTGGGAAATTGCTAAATTTATAATACAATTTAGGAAGTCAAGTGCACAGGAGGTTCATACTAACTTGGCTGTAAGATTATAGCTATAAATTGTTGAGACTCTTTTTAAGAAAACAGATTTAGACAAAGTATATCTCAATCTTCTTTATCTAGAAACCACTATTCAATACATTTCCCCCCTTAAAAGGAAAAAAAAAACCCAGTCAATTTAGAGACAAGTTTGAAAAAGAGAGGGTCCCAGGGCAAGATTCCATAACATCAGAATGGGAAAATCTTAAGGGCAGAATGATATGAATCTCACCCTGGTTTGAAGCATTCCTCACTTCCCTCCTCGCCTCTTCTTCCTGGGGACTGCCTGTCTACCAACCACTCTGAACTTGTGCTCTGCTGGCTACCCGCCCATGCTGGGAAACAAAAGCAATAACTACAGTGGTCCCCTCATCACAACATTCCAGTGAGGAACTGGGATATGCCCCCGCTTCCACTTGCTGTGAAAGAGAAATATATTAAGAATGGGAAATATAATTTAATCTGTGGTATAGGTAAATATCTAACATAGGAGCATGTTTTATAATGGGGATTTACTGTGTAAACCTATTAACTCCATTCTTTCTAAAAATTATAAAATTACCTTAACTAAACTATATTTTTATATTCACTCAAACTGGGCTCAAGTACTAATATGAAAAGTCCCTTAGGGCTTTTAATATCTAAACCAAAATTCAAAATAGAGTCGAAACATTATTTCATAAAGCGAAGGGAACTCTGTAGCCCCTGGAAATATTTAAGAGAAATATTTGGAAAATATCTTTTGCAAAGTGAAAAATTTCTCTTTCACTCATATTCCAAAATAAATTAGGAAATTAAAACTGCATGAATGGTCTCCAAATGAGTTAAGTTCTCCTATTTGAATAAAAATTCATTAGGTCCAAGTACTAAGGAAGCAAACTAGATACCACAGACGTTTAAATCTTGACCCACTGTTTATTTGCTGCTAAACAGCTTGGAGCAGACCTTTTTCACTGTACTTTTTCAACCAAAAATTATTGCGAAGAGCCAGGAACATAGAGAATGATGTTATGGAGAGAAGGAGAGAAAGGTCCCTGCCCCTGAGCCCCTTGCCTAAGTTTCCACATCTGACTGATGACTGGCAGGTCCCTCACATAAGCTGATCAAAGTATCCCTGATGGTGACACCTGGCTCAGTAGTAATTCTCCATGACTCCCTCAACTCTCCATTTCTTCACCTACTTTTCCAGTCATATGGTCAAGCAATATTTATTAAAATCTGTTATACACACAAATATACAATGCATGCCAACCCTCAAGGACTCCAATTTACTGCAGGATAAAAGACAAGCAAATATGCAATAATAATACAAACACATGCCACTATGAGGGTAAGTACCAACTACTAAGGAACCTTACAAGGGTGAATAACCAACTCAGCTTCTGAGATCAGAGGAAACTTCCTGGAAAAGTTTAAACAAAACTTTTAACAAAAACCGTTTAAACAAACGTTTAAACAAAAACCTTATGGATAAGTAGCAGCTGGCCAAGCCAAGAGATGGCAGTGTAATGGTAAGGAATTGTACTGGTTGGAACAGCATGTGAAAGTCAAAGAGCAAATGCAGAAGGTGGGCAAGGTGTAACAGCTGATCCACCCTCAAGCTGTGCCCATCGGGATTTCCTAACTTGCTCCTTGTTGCCCTTCTCTGAGAGCCTGGGAAGTCAGAAAAAACAATCTTGCTGTGTGTGATAAAGGACTCAAGATTTATGCCATCACTATCTCTTGGTATTAGCAGCAGAGGGGTTACTAATCAATACTTAATTTCAGAAATGTTGTCACAGGATGTATGAAATTAAAGCAATGAAAAGATTAAAGAGGTAGAGGTTCCTATCACCAGCTAAAATATCAAACTCTCCTATACTGCATATGAAATATAACTCCACATATAAAAAAATTCATTAACGGAATTTAGCAATGAATAAATCCTGTCTAGTGAATAAATCAATATAATCACTTCCTAATGAAAAGTTACTACAGCAGCTAGGGCAAAAATGGGAGGAATTCAGCACCTGAAGAAGCTGGGCTTGGTGGTCTGAGTTCTTAGGCCAGCCATGGACTTCCATGGGCCTCGAATCCTCATCTATACAAGAACAGTTGCTTTGGTTATTGCCAATACTTCTAAAACTCATTATTCTGGCAGGCTATCACAATCAAAAGTACTTAATCACCAAAGGCAAGGATTTAAATAACTTTTAAATCAAAGACTAGGGTTTTGCCTGAGAAAAATAAACAAACTATGGACTTTCAAACTGTCTTTGATTCAAAAAACAGTTCATTTCAGTTCATGCATCTTTTAAAACTTGGTAAGTCATGCATAACCAAATATAAAGATAATTAACATTTTAGGAGAACCAAATCAGATGATTTTTTTTTTTTAAGAAAAGAGAAAGTAAAAAATGTACCATAACTAGGCAGGCAATGATTGGGGTTGTTCACTTCCCTTTCTGTTGGTTGGTTTCACTTCCCTTCTTAAGTTAAAACACTCCTAATATGTAAATGATTTCACTAAAGACTGCCAGAGTTCTTTCTTAGCAATTTGCAGAGATGTTTATGCAAAAGGAATTATTTCCAGGCTTTTACATGACAGAAAAGGGATATAAAGCACTGGGAACTTAAAAAATAAAGCAAACTAAAGTGTGTGTGTGTGTATATATATATATATATATATATATATATATATGCAAAGCAGAAGCAAATAACCAAGGATTCCAATTTTAACCATTTAAAAATGCTTTAGTAGTAAAAAGTAGATATTCTATGATTATAGGAACTTTGTAGTAAAGGGTTAACTCTGTTTAGGAGTACCTAAATGCCAGGTATTATGTTAAACTCTTGGGATGTTTTTGGTTTCAAGTCCTCACAATCCTGTCACATGGATATTATCTCTATTCTAACAGTATAGAAACAAAGTAGGAACAAAGGCTCAGAATGGGCAGGTAACTAGAAAAAAAATCACACAGCTAAAAAATAAAGAAGCTATACTATGAGTCCTATTCTAGTCAACATCAAATCTCATACTCTTTCAATAGATAATGCAGACTTGAAGCACCAAAGGAAAAAATTGAAGACATTTTCCCTTTTCTGTCTGATTCTCTTAGATACATGGCATCATTTCAAGCGAAGCTTATGCTGAGCATAACTTCATAAACAAATCATTTGTGAAAGAGAAAAACCACATCCAGTCAGAAGCTGAAAAAGCCTTCAGAGAGTACTTCCTGAAAGAGACAAAGCAGCAGCTAGTACCAACTGCTATACCAAGAATTATATTTGAAACAATTATTTAAAGCAACAGAAGAGCCTAAAAGAAACAAATATACCTTTTCTTAAATATACCATTTCCGAAAAGAGAAGAAACTCAACAGATACCTCTTTTACAGAACTGGATATATGGAAAAATGTTCCTCTCTAATACAACAGGCTTTTGATGGACAGGAGGTAAGTCGCATTTAATTAACTTCATTATAGATTATCAGAAGTAATGTACTTACTAAATTTCAAAATCATTGTTTTATTTTAATAATACATTACTGAAACCATGTTGGTGAAGAACATTCAAATGAGTTATGCTGTCACCCTTCTGCATTATGAATATGATTTTTTCATTTATTTTCAGTATTGTTTTACATTAATGGTAAATGTAATTTTTTGAACTCAGGAAAATGCTGATATGATAAGTTATATGCATATTTAAGAGTCATTACTTAGTTTCAATTACATTATTTCACAAAATGTACTTAAGGCTTTTAAGGAAATAAAAACTATAGGTAATCGTGGAATCAAAAGCTTTTAAAACCTGACTTGAAAGCCAATTACTTTTCAATATTTATCCGAAAATGTATCTCTCTGTGCAGAACACAACATATACTGACAATGTCTTTAGAAAACATGCATCGTGCATTTTTTTTCAAACTTAAGCAAATGAACACAAGTGTTGGTGACATACAAGCAGTTTGAGCCCAGTGAGGTAGGAAAAGGATTTACTCAGAAATGGTTTTTAAGGACAGAATTTATGTGACATAATTTTGGGGTGAGGATGGGTGAAAGGAGTCCTATTGCAATTTTAAAAGAAAAACAAGGATACAAATTTTCACTGACATTACGACTGCTACGATTTAAAAATTCACTGAAAGTTAAAAATAAAGAGTCAAACCTCTAACATGATTCTCCTTCATACAATACTGAAGACTTACTTTTTCTTTGTAGGACTTTTCTCATTTGATAGAAATATTCCAGTCACATCAATATTTGGAAATTTTAATTAATACAGAATTTCAAATATGTAGAAATCTATTCCAACCTCATATTTAATCTAAATATTTGGCAAACTAGCTGTAATCAGGAAGGAAGGAAGGAAGTTGGAAAGGAGAGAACAAAGGGAAAAACAAACTCCTATCTTGTGTTTGTCCACAGCAATTGCTCAAATTATTTTTAACTTATCAACAACCGATGATGCCACTGACCAGACTGTTAACTGTTAACCACCCCTACATGGCTGAATTAGACAGAGCCCACTCTGCAAAGTGACATTTTTGAAGGAAACTCTTCTTACACCTCCATATTTCACGGGGACGCCACAAGGTTCCATCTCTTTGTAGTAACTCTATTTTTAAAATAACTGGGGTTAGCACTGCATCATGAGTAATGGAAGTTTCACACTGAGGGAGATCAATGATATATACGACCACTAAACTCCTTTACATTAGAAATGAACTTTTTTTGATAGTGGGAATTAATGTTTGCATACACATAAAATTATTGAGTAACATCATATTAACTACTTGTGTTTGATACTCCTTTTTAAAATTTAATTTGAGAAATAATACTTAAGCTTCTGTATCTAGGTAAAGTGAGGGCATGAAAATTACTATACTAACAATTATATTTTCAAGGCATTACTTTCTGTGCACCATTGCAGCAGTGAAATCTGCTTCTTAAACACTGGTAAATACCACCTGGGAGACTCAGCATTAGACACTCTCAGCTGTGCATTAGTATCCAGTTCATCTATTGTTCTAAGAGTGCTGTTCCTTGTTTTTTTAAATTGTTGTTCAAATATAGTTGTCTCCATTTTTCCCCCATTACCCGCCCCCTCCTACTCTCAATCCTACCCCCTTTGGCTTTGTCCATGTGTCCTTTATACATGTTCCTTGAAGACCCTTCCCCTATGTTCCCCCATTATCCCACTTCCCCAACCCCTCTGGTTACTGTCTTAACCTGCAGACCATGGCACAAGGCACTGATGTTTTTAGACCTATGATAATTTAGAGAATAGAACACTATGAAAAAGTGTTTACTACTTAAAAAAAAAGTTTAATGGCCAACTAAGCAAGTCTTCACGGACAAACTAGAGAGTAGTTTCTAATGGTCACCTCACCAAAGGTTCCTTCACTCATCTATCATTCAGTAAATATTTACTTTATGAATACCTACAATTTACTTAATAGGCAATGGCGATATACCAGGGAAAAGTGAAAGTTCCTGATCTCAAATGAGAATTACTGTGACTATTCAGTAATTAGCCAGTTATATGGTTCTTTTATTAGTTTTCTAATACATAAAGTATACATTAAAATTGTATTTGATGAGTAAAAATTCATTATTTGATATTACTAATCTCAATTACAAAATATTTAAACAGAATGAAGATGATAAAAAGTGGCAAACTATATTGCAAGATTCAAAATTCAGAATGGCCTTTCCCTAATTAGTCCTAATCAAAGAATGCTTATTGTAGGAATAATAGCTACCCAATTTCATACTATAGGAAAAAAATCATAAAAGTCATTCTTTGGGGGAGAAAAGAGGTGAGCAGGGAGAAAGAAAATGAATAAATTTGCCAATGCATTATGACACACTTTAATAGATTAGCACAGATTAGTAATGCTACCTAGGAAACTTATTAATAAATCCTAAGACACATATATTGACTTTACAATATAAAATACTTTCAAAATTAAAATCCACTGCATGCCAACTATGAGAATGCTAAACATTTATTTTTCAGCAAAGTTTTATTTCTCCTAATCTTAACTATTTTACAGTTCCCAAGTGTCATGCCCACCAACAAACTATAAGATGACCACATCTTACAATCAAGCTCAACCTCGTTCTTCTAACAGCTCATATCCGGACGAATACAAAATTGCAGCCCTTGTCTTCTATAGCTGTGTCTTCATAATTGGATTATTTGTTAATGTCACTGCCTTATGGGTTTTCAGTTGTACCACCAAGAAGAGAACCACTGTAACCATCTATATGATGAACGTGGCACTACTTGACCTAATATTTATAATGAGCTTACCCTTTAAAATGTTTTATTATGTAAAAGGTGAATGGCCATTTGGAGAGTACTTCTGCCAGATTCTTGGGGCACTCACAATGTTTTATCCAAGTATTGCTCTATGGCTTCTTGCTTTCATTAGTGCTGACAGATACATGGCCATTGTGCAGCCAAAATATGCCAAAGAACTTAAAAAAACATGCAAAGCCGTGCTAGCATGTGTGGGAGTCTGGATAATGACCCTGACAACCACCATCCCACTCCTACTGCTTTATGAAGACCCGGATAAAGCCTCCACCCCTGCCACCTGCCTGAAGATTTCTGACATCATCCACTTAAAAGCTATTAACATACTGAACTTCACTCGACTGACTTTTTTTTTCTTAATTCCTCTGTTCATCATGATTGGGTGCTACCTGGTCATTATTCATAGTCTCCTTCATGGTAGGACATCTAAACTGAAACCAAAAGTCAAGGAGAAGTCTATAAGGATCATCATCACACTCATGGTGCAGGTGCTCATCTGCTTTGTGCCTTTCCACATTTGTTTTGCTGTCCTGATGTTGGATGGGGATGAGAACAGTTACAATCCCTGGGGAGCCTTTACCACCTTCCTCATGAACCTCAGTACCTGTCTGGATGTGATTCTATACTACATTGTTTCAAAACAATTTCAGGCTCGAGTCATTAGTGTCATGCTATACCGCAATTACCTTCGAAGTGTGCGCAGAAAAAGCTTCCGATCGGGTAGTTTACGGTCACTAAGCAACATAAATAGTGAAATGTTATGAAAAAATTTTTGTCTTCAATCTCCTTAAATTTACTTTACCAATTACCCTAGAGTCAGTGGGTATGTTGTATATTATCAAGTCCCTTTTCTTCTGAAAAAAAAACAACAAAACTTTAAAAACTCTTTTGTGGGATTTTATTGTGGCAACATAATTAAATATTCTGAAGTATTCTAATAAATTCATTATTTTTACTTTTAAAACTCATATAGAAAATTTTTATGAGCTATTAGGAGAAAACATGCAATTTGTGTTTCATATTCAAGTCTTACCTAAATATACAGTTGACTTAGTTTTTTGGATTTAATTCTATGTGCAAGTAAATCATGATGTCAATCAAGTTAGTGGCAAAAAAATCAAGCTACTGTTCAAAATAATTTGATGAAAGTATTTTCCATCTAGATGCAGTTCCCTTTGGTTTACTGTATACTCAGGATTGGTGGTCAACCCAACATTTTGTATTCTAAACCAAACTTCCAGGATCCTTACAAAAACAACTATGTTCAGCTCATCACTGTTATTTACTGCAGAGCAAAATCAGTGGGAGTAAGCACTTGGGGGAGCCAGTAGAGACCATGGCCATCAGCCATTCCCTAGTCTGAATTCATTTTCTTTTGGAAACAAGCTATAGTCACTCAATAAACACTTACTGAGAGCCTACAAGCACCAGACCCTACTTAAGACCAAAGGGGGAAACCTAATCCAAGATCCTATTTCTGCCCCCAAATCCAAGTTCCTTCCTGTGACATGATGTTTCTGCTATATGGTGAAATATCTTTATCTAATATAAAAATTGTGCTCTTCTTATGTAATTAAACATCACATTACAAAAGCAATTTTTTTTCAGGTCATATGTCACAGTACTAGTCAGGGATCTTGCCATTTAATTTCCCCTAACCAAGTAACTTCATTTAAAAAAGAAAAAGAAGTGAACTATAACCTATAAAGCCTGTATTCTAAATATTACAAAAGTACACAAATGAGTAAACTATAACTTCTTCTCTGCTAAATCACTTTTATTATTCTTAACATGATCACCTCCCAATGGGACTCAGAATCAAATCAATGCATTGGCTATAAATTGATTTCTATAATTAAGATGGGTAAATTCAGAATCTTTAAAAAAATAAACAGAAAGGAGCCTAATCATAAAACAGCATTTTAGTACTAGAAGATCCCTTAGATGATGTGCTGTTTTAAATATAAAGAAACTAAGGTCCAAAGAGGTTATGTCACTTGCTCAGCTAAAGAACCAGGATTAAAAATGAAATTCAGACGAGATCGGGCGTGTTCAAAGTGGTGGGGGGAAGGCAGAGACAAATGTATTTGAAAAAATAAATAAATAAATGTAAAAAAAATGAAAATCAATTATCTTTTCATGTCAGTCACCAATATTTAATAATAAAAAATAATCAGACTTACAGAATGTAAATATTCCCATGGCTACGTAAGATAAAGGAGTTAAGTTGATACTGAGATGTAGTTTCTCAACAAAGGGAAAACAACTTGAAGTTTTAGTTTAAATAGTCAAGTAAGCATGATATTTTCATACATATCTTTAAAGAAATAATTATTTGTAAATCAATGGAAATAACTACTATATATGTAGGGTTATGGTATGTATATACAGTCATAGCTGACTCAAACTACATGGATTAATATGCTCTTATACAATTTATTAAATGTCAAGTTCTCAGCAATGGCTTTTCTTGATAAGAAGAGTTTAATTTGAAAGCACAAAACACAATAAAAGGCTTTGTGAATGCAAAGTAAACAAAGTGAAAATATATGTCATAGTTCTCACAATAAAATTATAATCTAAAACAGTTCACTAAAAAATAAATTTATTCAGCATAAAATAATTAAACATAATATGTAAAAACTCAAAATTCCACTTCCCTGGAAGGGTTTGATTATGGGAAACAATGTAACATTCACATGTAACAATTAAAAAATAATAGGTATATAAGGACAGATAATGTGGTAGGCATGGGTTACGGGAAGCACCTCATATATATATACACACATAATGGTTACTTTTTCTGAATTTCAAATGACAGTCATGAGAGTCTATCAGAAGCCAGGTATAATTTCCATGCAAAGCACTAGAAAAAGAGACAAACAGGTCTATGTTCAAAGACCTTACCATACATTCATTATGGGACTACAATGTAATCAAGGCCATCCCTTCCATCTGACTGAAACTAAGGCAATGAGTACATTAAGTCAAACTAGTTCTCAAAGAGATAGTAGGGTGGCATAGCAGATCCAGATAATGGTAATGAAAATGCAATCTAATAAAAGCTAATAGAGGTCTTAAATTTGTTGAAATACATGTAAAAGGACAATATTACCAAAGGATGACAGGGTATGGAAAGAAAACCAAGTAAGCATAAGGATACAAATACATAGCATGTAAAGAAAGGTCAATGACTGATAGGGGAGTGGCGGAACACTGGATTGGGGTCAGATTATGAGGGCTTTGAAGGGAAATAAGAAAACCAAAACATAGGACGTATACTACTGCTACGATGTTTGTTTGCGTAAGTGAGCTTATTTAATTCTCTCCACTGCCCTGTGAAGTATAGACTATGATCCTTAATTAACATTTGAAGGTCATCTATAAATTGAGCTCAGGAAGTAGAACTTGAGAGAAGTGACTTGCTCAAGGTCACATATATATAATACACAGCAGAACTGGAATCTCAAATCTGGTCCATCTAACGGCAAAGCCTATGCCATTTTCACTATTCTATACTGCCTGGGTATCATCTTGGAGGAACTTAACTTTTATTCTAAAGAAAATGAGGATTTAAAGGATTTTAAATGGAAGACTATCCTGGTCACACTTGTATTTTAGAAAGATAATTTGTGATAACACTGCATGGAATACTTTGGAATTGATAAACTGGTTAGAAAATTAACGTAAAAATCTAGGTAAATTAAAGATTAGAGTTCAGGCGGAAATAATGACAGAAGTAGAGAAGATGGGATAAACAAATAATTTATACAGGACTTAGAATTATTAAGATTGATGCCCTACTATAATGATGAGAATAGGGAGATTCCAAGTGGGATGAATTAGATGGAAATGCCATTAACTACAATGAATACAGGAGGAGAGGATGAGAATACAGCAAAAATGGAGATCAGAAGGGATGAGAGCTTCTAAACATGACGAATTTTCTTTGAGTCTTAGAAGTCACTAGGAAACATAACTCTAGAAATATCAGCAAAGTAAACATGGACCGGGAATAGAAAGTTGGGAAATAACAGATGTTAACTGTAGTTGAAGTCATGGAAATGACAAGAAAATTCAGAGAAAACACCTGAAATAAGCTTGAGAGAAGAGCTGCAGACAGTAAATAGGATCAAAAAGGACCAGGAGAGAGTAGTGTGCTAGGACTCAAGGGAGCAGGTTATTTCATGAAATAATAATGTAAGGTAAAAGTATTTAATGCACTACTGAAAGGTCAAATAAGACAACAGAAAATAAGCCAGTGGCTTTAGAAATTAGTTGGATATAGGTGAGATTTATAGGAGAAGTTTTAAAAGTGGTGAGATTTAAAAAAAAAAAGGAAGAGAATTAAATAGGAAGGAAAGAATTATAAATTAGAGCAGATAAATTTGTCACTGATGGGACAGAAAAAGTAACAGATGTTATGTGAAAAACACTGAAAATTTTAAAGCATGCTGGCCAAAAAAAGACGAAGTAGTTTCCTCTCCTGAGTTTTTGAAGTTTTGCTATCATCAAATAAAAGATATACTTACAAAATGCAAAGTTTCTTTACTGAAGTAAAGATTTATGTTCCAAGAAATCTATGTTTGAGAAAGCATCAAGATTCTAAAAAGCCATACTCTCATGTTTCAGAATTTGAAAAGGAAAGAGAAATATATTCTCACTGAGGGAATGGCTGAATTAATATTTATATCGTCTTTCAAAGGGGATCCTATAAGTTTTCAATTTACTCAAGCTTGCAACTTGCTGTGAATTAAGACAAATAAGTAAATGCCTTCCTGCTTTAAGAATAAGTAAAAATATTCCCAGCTTCAAAACTGAATCAATCCTCCTCATATGTACCAGTTAATAGGATTCCAAAAGAAAATAACTGCCATTCAACTCTATGTGCAATAGAAAAAAGGTCATCAAAAAGGGGGGCAATGTAAATAAGAATTAAAAGCTATGTTACTACCTTCGCCCAAAATTTCAAACTCACATGTAACATACATACTGGTCTATGTAACTCAGTGGGCCTTATAGAGAACTAAAAAGAACTGACCTGGATGAGAAATGTTTGGGAAAAACCAATGATTTAGTAATGCCGCTGCTTTCCTAAATCACTCCTGATAACTACATTACTTTTCACAGTAGCAGAATAGACAACTTAAACTCCTCAGTCTCACTATAATTAAAACCCAAGGAACTCAACAAAAACTGCATGATAATTATGACACAGAACTTTGTCTCTATTCAAATATTATTCAGAATCATACATTATTAAAACAGCTAAAGGTCAACACTCTTGCCAACTATAATGAAGTAAATCTCATAAAGGACCACTACAATGTAAATATTGACAATGTAAGTGTGAACACTATTAGACCACTAACAATATTTTTAATATAGATAACCAAAGTGAATTTGAATCAAGATACATGCAATTGTCTAAGAATTCTCAAAAACACAAATTCAAAATTAAAATAAAGATAAAATTAGTACACACAGAATTTTACATATCGGGAATCTTAATTTCAAAGTATCTCTCAAACACAGTCTCCAATACTCAATTCAGAAATACTTTAGAGTCACTTATACATGCTAATAACTCTGCTCCTAGATACTAGATATTTCATAAACTAATACATGGTATGTGTTTTTGTTTGTTTGTTTTAAAGAAGATCAATACAATATGAAAGCATATATACCCTGAGTTAGGTTGGCCATAGCAGGTTGGCTAAAATGTGGTAACCTATATACTGACTTCATTTTATCTTTGGTGCAAGTAAAGAAAC